TACTATTCAGGTATAAAAATGAATCAAATTCTACTATTTGCATCAAAATGGATGTAACTCAAGGACGGCATGCTGACTGAAATAAGCCAGACACAAAAAGGCAAATACTTATGTTCTCCCTTATATGTGGGAGCTAAAATTAAAAAAGAAATTAAAACAAACAAAAAGAAATGCCTGTGTGTATCAGTATGGCTGAAAATATACTTTTGTCAAACCAATGGTTAAGAATGACATACTACTACAGACTTAATAATCTGTTTATTTTTAAATTTACTGTATAGAAATAAAATGGTCATCTTCTCCTTCAATTATTGTTTATAGTCTTACATAAATTCCCACTGAACTAAGATCTCTTTACTTGCTGAACTTATTCATTTAGTGGAGTATTAAGCCTTTGACTATGATGTAAATAAAAATGTGATCTCAAAAATTACAAAAAGAAAGCAAGAAAGAGAGGAAAAGGAAGGAGAAGGAAAAGAGGGAGGGAAGCAATGGGGAGGGAAGGATTGTTACATTCTAAGAATTATATTTATGAATTACATTGAATCTGTTCTCCTGGTTTTATTACATTAATATTTAAATTGATGAGAATTGTGTTGTAGTAATTATCACGGATTTGCTGTGGTCCTAAGAACCTAACGCATTAGTAAATTCTTTTTTTTTTTTTTTGGACAGGCAGAGTGGACAGTGAGAGAGACAGAGAGGAAGGTCTTCCTTTTCCGTTGGTTCATCCCCCAACGTGGCAGGCGCGCTAAGGCTGTTGTACCACACTGATCTGAAGACAAGAGCCAGGTGTTTCTCCTGGTCTCCCATGCGGGTGCAGGGCCCAAACACTTGGGCCATCCTGCACTGCACTCCCGGGCCATAGCGGAGAGTTGGACTGGAAGAGGAGCAACCGGGACAGAATCTGGCACCCCGACCAGGATTAGAACCCGGTGTGCTGGTGCCGCAGGCGGAGGATTACCCTATTGAACCGCGGCACCAGCCAGTAAATTCTTTAAAAACAATATTTCATACTATATTTCAAACTATAACTTTTTTGAGATGTTCTCTTAGAATAACCTGAAATAATCAAAATAAATAAGCTATTGTAGAAACTAACCATTTTGACATAAAGTAATATCAAAAGGGGCTGGCATTGTGGCATAGCAGGTAAAGCCACTACCTGTCCATATGGACACTGGTTCAAATCCTGGTTGTTCCATTTCTGATCAAGTTCTCTGCTAATGGCTTAGGAAAAGCAATGGAAGATAGAATAAGTGCTTGGGCCCTGCACACACACGGGAGATCTGGAAGAATTTCTTGCCTCCTGGCTTTGGCCAGGCCATTGAAGCCATCCGGGGAGTGAACCAATGGATAGAAGATCTCTGTCTCTCCCTTTCTGGAACTCTTGACTTTCAAATAAATAAATACATCTTTAAAAAAAAGAAAAATAGCAATATAAAAGATAAATATAATAAATAAATATAAGCAACAAAAACAAATTAGTAAAAAAAAAAAAAAAAACAAGAAATTTTCGCAAGAACAATTTGAAGTACAGGTACAAGAAAACCACTGCAAGGACAGATGAAAGCAGTCACAAGGATTTCAAAGCCTGGGTTTTCTTTTCCTCCATTTATTTCTACTCAGTGATACCTCTAATTTCAACTCATTTTCTCTTTATCACCAGTTTTGAAGTTTATTTTTTAATCCTTTCCTCAAGTAATGACATACAGCAGTTAATTCATAAATTAAAACTTTCAACCTATGTTTTTAGGCAGCACCTATTTGAAGCCTTGTGCCTGTACACTTTTCTACTACTTGATGGAACTGTGTTCTTTTTCATGCAAATGAGTCTTAATGAAATTCCCTACATAATATAGCAGTCACACATAGCTGGAGTTTAGACAGGCCAACTAACTCTAGTATTTCTAGACTTTGTTTCATTAAGTAAAGAATTACTAGCAAGACAGTGATATTTTTACTCACTACCTACCTGATACCTAGGAGTCTACAGTATCTCCCAAACCCTACTTGCCCACACAAATTTTTTTAAAAACTAAAAAGGCCGGGGCTGGAGATGTAGCTCACTTGGCTAATCCTCCACCTGTGGCACCGGTATCCTATATGGGCACCGGGTTCTAGTCCCGGTTGCTCCTCTTCCAGTCTAGCTCTCTGCTGTGGTCCAGGAGGGCAGTGGAGGATGGCCCAAGTGCTTGGGCTCCTGCACCCGCATGGGAGACCAGGAAGAAGCACCTGGCTCTTGGCTTCGGACCAGCACAGCGCCAGCCATAGTGACCATTTGGGGAGTGAAGGAAGACCTTTCTCTCTCTCTCTCTCACTGTCTATAACTCTACTTGTCAAAAAAACAAAAAACAAACAAACAAAAAACCAAAAAACTAAAAAGGCAGTTAGGTGTGTTAAGAGAAGGTATTTTACAATAAGCTATTATCACCCAAGTGAAATCCTTATTCCAAATTCATTAGAACAAATCTATTTTATGTCCGAAGTTAAAGGTCCATACCAATGCTTTAAAAAATTTTTTTAAGATCTATTTTATTTATTTGAAAGGCAGAGTTAGAGAGAGAAAGAGGAGGAGATACAGGGTGAAAAAGAGATCTCTCATCATCCACTGGTTCACTCCCCAAATGGCTGCAAAGGCTGGGGTTGAGTCAGGCTGAAGACAGAAGCCCGGGCCGGCGCCGCGGCTCACTAGGCTAATCCTCTGCCTACGGCGCCGGCACACCGGGTTCTAGTCCCGGTCAGGGTGCCGGATTCTGTCCGAGTTGCTCCTCTTCCAGGCCAGCTCTCTGCTGTGGCCCAGGAGTGCAGTGCAGGATGGCCCAAGTGCTTAGGCCCTGCACCCCATGGGAGACCAGGAGAAGCACCTGGCTCCTGCCATCGGATCAGCGCGGTGCGCCGGCCGCAGCGGCCATTGAGGGGTGAACCAATGGAAAAGGAATTCTCTCTGTCTCTCTCTCTCTCTCACTGTCCACTCTGCCTGTCCAAAAAAAAAAAAAAAAAGACAGAAGCCTGGACTCCATCCAGGTCTCCCAAAGTGTGTGTCAGAAGCGTAAATGTTTGGACATATTCCCCTGCTTTCCCAGGCACAACATCAGTGAGATGGACTAGAAAAAGAGTTTCTGGGACTCAATGAATACTCCAATATGGAGTGCTCACAAGACAAGGCTCAACTCACTGTGCCACAACATTGGGCCTGTTATAGTTTTCTAAAATTCATTTTAGGCCGACGCCGCAGCTCAATAGGCTAATCCTCCACCTAGTGGTGCCAGCACACCGGGTTCTAGTCCCAGTCTGGGCGCCGGATTCTGTCCCGGTTGCCCCTCTTCCAGGCCAGCTCTCTGCTATGGCCCGGGAGTGCAGTGGAGGATGGCCCAAGTGCTTGGGCCCTGCACCCCATGGGAGACCAGGATAAGCACCTGGCTCCTGCCTTTGGATCAGCGCAGTGCGCCGGCCGCAGTGCGCCAGCAGTGGTGGCCATTGGAGGGTGAACCAACGGCAAAAGGAAGACCTTTTTCTCTGTCTCTCTCTCTCACTGTCCACTCTGCCTGTCAAAAAAAAAATTTCATTTTAAAGACATTTATTTGAAAGAATAACAGAGAGATGGAGAGCGAGAAAGACCAAGAATAGAATCTCTATTAAGCTTGGTGTTTCACAGTCCTTATATAGTCCACAGTAGTCAGTTGTTCTTAGACAAGGTATTCCTAATAGTAAAACTCATCAGATTGGGCAGTTTTTTCTACAGATAATAATAGTACTTTATCTTAAGCAATCAAATAATAATTTTGAATTAGTATCTTTTACCCTTTCTTATGTTTAGAGGACAGTCACAGACTGCAAAGTGAGGTGGCCCTGTAATAGGTGTATGAAATTAGCAAATAATAAAATGGGGATGGTCGAAGAGGACACAGTTGTGAGACAAAGAACTAACTTACGATAGATTTGTTGGGTTATTTAAGAATCTCTCTCAAGAGACAGCCTGTTAAACTCCAAATTTAAACTATGAGTTGATATAAACAGTATAACAAAGAAGTAGGAATACACATATCAGCTGATGTGAGTTGACATATAATTTATAGAGCTAAATTAAAAAATAAGGATTTGTGACAATGATAAAAAATTAAACTGTAGAGAATCCAAGTTATGCAGAGATATTTTAGAGATGAGAGAAAAGAGATTACTTGATGCAGGGATCTCTTCATTCAGAAATCAACTAGCAAGGTAATAACCTGAGTTATATGGGAATAAGCTTGAATGCATGTTGAAAGGTTAGATCACAGAGATATACTAAAAACTATGGAAATGCAAAGGATAAAGTTTTATCACAAACTCACACTATATTATCTCATTATGAGTTTAAGAAAGCAGAAAGTTTGTTGGGATTTGCAGAAGAGAAGAGAGAATAAAAGATTAAATAATAAAGGAAAAAGAAGTAAACAGATACTAGACCTTTTACATGAACCGAAATTGAGATAAATGTTGAAGTTAAACAGTTTAAATAATACACAGATATACAATAATCAAAAAAATTTTAAAAATAGTTTTTAGTTTAAAATGGAGTATATGCATACAATATATAGTCAAACAATATTTGAAGTACAACCAGTGAAAAAAAGCAGATTTCTCAACTACAGTACATTCCCAAATTTCTTTGCCCAGGGCCAATCAATGTTATGAGACTATTATGTTCATTCCAGAGATAAGCCATGTATAGACAGGTATGTATTTGTACACATATAGTCACATTCTTTGTGTTTTTAAAATGTAACAAGCAGCATACTGTATACATAGTCTTGACTTTGCTTTTTTTCATTTAATACTTTCTAGAGACCATTCCCTTTCAGCTCATACAGAACTGCTTCATTCATTTCATAGCTGAATTTATCACTATATATGTGTATGTACTAGAATTTATCTGGTCATTTTCTTACTAATGGACATTTATAGCCAATGCTATGATAAAAATTTCTGTATATAAACTATTCTGTAAGCTGACTTACCTTCCAAAGTCACAGAGTTTTAAAACAGCTGTATCAGGATCCAACAAGAGGTTCTGTGGTTTAATATCCCGATGGCAGATTCCAAAGGAATGGATATAGGCTAAACTTCGAAACAGCTGATACATATACAACTGGAATAAATAGTAAAAATTAATTGAATACTTCCTATTTCAAATGGATAAGAATCCTCAAGTAATAAAGTAACACATTCTCTCAGAGCAGGAGAATGCTGGATGTTACTAGCATTTAATCCTTCTTTAATAAGTTTCATGCCATTTCTGTGTTAGATATATCTTTAAAAATTAGCTCATTAAACTGTCATTAACTACATATAATATTTTCCATCCTTTAATAATTCACAAAATTTTATAATTTTTATTTATTTATTTATTTATTACAGGCAGAGTGGACAGTGAGAGAGAGAGACAGAGAGAAAGGTCTTCCTTTGCCGTTGGTTCACCCTCCAGTGGCCGCCACAGCTGGCGCGCTGCGGCCGGCGCACCGCACTGATCCGATGGTAGGAGCCAGGTACTTATCCTGGTCTCCCATGGGGTGCAGGGCCCAAGCACTTGGGCCATTCTCCACTGCACTCCCTGGCCACAGCAGAGAGCTGGCCTGGAAAAGGGGCAACCAGGACAGAATCTGGCGCCCTGACTGGGACTAGAACCCAGTGTGCCGGCACCGCAAGGCGGAGGATTAGCCTAGTGAGCCGCGGTGCTGGCCTTATAATGTTCTTTATAACTTTTGCTAACGTTTCACATCAAATCTGGTAAGATGGGCTTTTTATTTAAAACACAGATTTTATGGTTTGAACATAATTTGTCCCCTCAGAAAACTCATGTATAAATTTAATTCCCATTGCGAGGTATAAAAAAGTAGAAATTTTTCCAACTGTGGTGGTTAGAAGTGGGGCTTTTGGAAAGTGATTAAGATTAAATTTCATCATCAGGGTGGAGTCTGATTGCTTGAATACTGGTGGCTTTATATAAAATGGGGAGAAGGGCTGTTGCTGTGGCCCAGTGGATTAAACTACCACTCATGAGGCTAGCATCATATAGGAGTATTGGTTTGAGTCCCAGTTGCTCTGCTTTTGATCCAGCTTCCTGCTAATGTACCTGGAAAGGCAGCAGAAAACCACCGAAGTACCTGGGGGCCTGCTACCTTCGGGGGAAAACCAGGGTAAAGTTTCTGGCTCCCAGCTGCTGGCTTTGGCCTGGCCCAGTCCTGGCTGTTGTGGCCATTTGGGAAATAAACCAGTGGATGGAAGATCTCTCTCTCTCTCTCTCTCTCTCTCTCTCTCTCTCTCTCTCTGTCTCCCTCTCTGTTGCTCAGCCTTTCAAACTAAATAAATAAATGGGAGAAGACCACAACATATACACATTGTATTTCTTGCCATGTGAAGCCCTGTGCAACCCTGGGACTCTGCCAGCAAGAAGGTCATCACCATATATGTCCCTCCATCTTGGACAAGAACAGTGAATACAAACCTCTTTTCTTTATAACTTATCTGACCTGTGATACTATGTTGAGTCAACAGATGAAAAGCTCAGAGAGGTATCCCAATAACATCAGTAATAAGTAACAATGTTTACACCAGAATGCAGGGCTTCCGGTTTTTAAACTCATCATTCAATCTCGTATATCAGAGTGTCTAACATAAAAGTATTTCCACTGTCATCTTTAGAATTATCTTTTTCTTTGATGTTGGTCTCTAAGGTGTTTTTTATTTAAGTTTTTGATTGTTTTGATGTTTTCTTTAGGAGAGAAAGAGAGAGAAATGACAAACAAACCAGTTCTTATCCTCTGGTTTACTCCCCAGATACCCACAACGGCCAGATCTGGGCCAGGTCCAAAGATGGGAGCCATGAACATAATCTCATGAGAGTGGCAGGAACTGACCAAGCGAGCCATCTCTGCTGCCTACCTGGGTCTGTATTAGCATAAAACTGGAAACAGGGGCTGGCAACAGACATCAAATCCAGGTATTCTGATATAGCAAACATGTGGTTAACTATTGAGGTTATTGATACAGTCCAGGAAAATTCATAGGTGGACTGGGAAAATCTATAATCAATAACCTATCAAGAATCAGTAATACTGTTGGTAGTATCATCATTCTTCCTACTAATATACTTTAGAAGTAAGTACCCTTTAAAAAGCTTGAAAACAGATGCCTAGTTAACTATTAATATCACTTTAAAAGAACCTTTTTTTATTACCAAAAAGATACACTGAAAAACTAGGTATGTATAGAAGAGTGAATCATATTCTTTCCTTGGGAAGGAAGGGCTTTATGGAGAAAATGAGTATACTTTAAGCCTTCTTTTTATGCTAAGGTCAATAATCATGTTCACTTTAAAATTTTTCTGACTACTCACTTTCTGACCTCTACCTCAAAGGTATACCACGTAAATAATTTTTTAAATGACTCAAACCAAAGATATCAGTGTCCTTAAGCATACTTAAGGTCAGATGAAGCACTGACATACAGCACCATCTTCAGAGGCTATTGCTGAAGCTTAGTAATTAAACCTAACATAAACTTACTTCCCTTCAAAGAATCATAATGAAAACTGCAGATTTGAATTCCAATACATCCTTCATGTTAAATCTTAATGCTAATTTCAAAAAAAGCTGGAGAAGTTTGACTACGTTAAAATGAAGCACAATGTAAACCATATAGATAAGATCAGCATTTTATCACTGAAGTTAGAATTAGAGCACTTAGGTTTCCTTGTAACTTTTAAAAAGCTTTGTAATTCTACTGTCATCCCTGTACAGAATCAATCTATAAGCCTTAAAACTTACTTACCTCTCTTTCGCTGCCTCTCCTTCTCTCTCTGTGTAACTCTTTCAAATAAATAAATACATCTTAAAAAAAAAAAAAACCTTACTTGAAGTGTTTCATTAACTGTCTTTAGGAAAATGATCTCCCATAAGAAATTGAGCTCATGGGTATTAATTTACTAAAGAGACTGTCTAATTCTGTATCTCGGAATTGATAGTAAAATAAGTGTAAAAATTGTTTTCTTTGAAAAAATGCTTAATAGCCTATTTAAAGATGCCTTCTTACTGTCTTCCACCATTTGAAAAATTATTCTGTCCTTATTCTCTTCACTATATCTTGGAAAATCAAGATACAGAATGAAATATGAATTTTATATCTTCATTTTTGTTCCACTTCGTAAAATTATGTAAGAAAGAAGGAAAGTTCTCTAAGCTAGAAAGATGGCAAAAAAAAATAACAAAAAACCAACATATTATGTGCCAGGAACTATTGCGTATTCTCATTCATTTAATCCTTATAATAATCTTATATAATAAGCACTACTATAACTACCATTTTAAATATAAAGTAACTGAAGTGCAGAAATTAAGCAAATTGCCTAGTCACATACTAAATATTCTGTAGTACGCCTGGTCATTACCTCTCTTTTAATTATAATTTCTTTATTTTGTCATATTTTTATTTCATTAAATAGAGATATGAAATAAAATCATTAAAATAGTGTGGCAAGTAAAAGAGTAGATTCTTAGAATCTCAAATTACAGCTTGAAATACAAGAGGGCTTCAAAAAGTTAATAGAAAATGTATGTTATGAAAAGGCTAAGCATGTATTTCCAAAAAAAATTTATACCAAAATAAACATCTTTTCATTTCATTTTCAATGAACTTTTTGAAGTATTATGATAAAGTTTATTTAACATGTATTAACTACCATACCAAGTACCTTTTTACTCATTGATTATTTCTTTCAACCACTCCGTAAGATACGTATTTATCCTTATTATATTTACAGGAGAGAAAGTTGAGGTTGAACAAACATAGTCTGAACACACAGCTATCAAATCTAATTAAGTCCAATGAATGTCCTTTCCTCTTCAACACATCTACATAAATAAATAATATCAAACTTGGTTATGGTTCACAAAAAATGAATCCAGTTCTCTTTAAGTACTTGACCTTGTCTTTAAATGAATTTTCAATTAGAATGTATTTAAGTTCAAAACAATGATTTGCTAGTCATCTGTTTTAAAACAGTTGTATTTTAAAAACCCATTTAATTCTGAAAGTTGAAAAGCAAAGGTGCTCAAAAGCTTTTAAACTTGTAAATCAACTACCACCAACTACAAAATAAGCAATAGTAAAAAACAAAAACAAAAAATTGGGGGTAGGGAGATAACAAAAGATTCCAAGCAATATGGTCATAGGACATACTCCACTTATCCAGAAAAAGTGAAGGTCAAACCATCATAGAAAATGCAGCAGCTATCTTGGCAAAGTGTATGGCAAACAAGTCCTTAGATGGTAAGGTCCATGAAGGCAAGAGTCATAAGTCACCTTTACTTCTATCTCCTAATTTAAGATTTTTCCTAATTTTAAGATTTTTCATATAATGGTATTACAATAAAACTACTTAGGATGACTAAGCAAAGGAGATCAACTCATAAACTTGATTGCAGACATTGTGTATATCTTTTCAGAGCTGTAAACATAAGAACTGATTTGTCTCTATGGAATAATACCAAGGGCCAACAGCTCTGATCCTGGAAAGACTGTGGTTATAAAAGAAATGATCTCGGCCGGTGCTGCGGCTCAACAGGCTAATCCTCCCCCTGGCGGCGCCGGAACACCAGGTTCTAGTCCCGGTCGGGGCACCGGATTCTGTCCCGGTTGCCCCTTTTCCAGGCCAGCTCTCTGCTGTGGCCCGGGAAGGCAGTGGAGAATGGCCCAAGTGCTTGGGCCCTGCACCCCATGGGAGACCAGGAGAAGCACCTGGCTCCTGCCTTTGGATCAGCGCGGTGCGCCGGCTGCGGCAGCCATTGGAGGGTGAACCAACGGCAAAGGAAGACCTTTCTCTCTGTTTCTCTCTCTCACTGTCCACTCTGCCTGTCAAGAAAGAAAGAAAGAAAGAAAGAAAGAGAGAGAGAGAGAGAGAGAGAGAGAGAGAGAGAGAGAGAGAGAAAGGAAGGAAGGAAGGAAGGAAGGAAGGAAGGAAGGAAGGAAGGAAGGAAGGAAGGAAGGAAGGAAGGAAGGAAGGATCTCTTTTCCTATAAAGGTTCGGAGAAATGAGTGTAGTGTGCGTTCACTCACACGTTTCTTCTGAATGCCAGCTTCAATATGTACATTAATTTTATTTTCTTATTTTAATATACAGAATGCCAAAGATATAGCACATCTATATGCTACCAAAAATAGCTACTAAATACAGCATTATTTAAATAGCAAAAAAGAAAAAAAAAGACAAAACCCAAAAACAACATGCATTAATAGGTCACTGGATGAATAGAATTGGGAAACAGCCAAACACTAGAGCAATATGCAACTATAAAAAAAATTGTGCATACAAGGAGAAGAAAAAGAAAAATAAGGTGGGGGAGGTCAAAGATATGCTAGATATCTAGCAAATGCTAGATTGTATATAGGCATATATACAATCATATTTTTACTTATTTGATAAATGGTAGGTTAAACTATAGTTTAACCTGCCATAGCATCATAAATGGGAATGCTGGTTTGAGTACAGGCTGCTCTGTTTCCAATCCAGCTTCCTGCTACTGCCTGGGAAGGCAGCAGAAGGTGGCTCAAGTATTTGGGCACCTTGTACCCATGTGAGAGACCAGGATGGAATTCCTGGCTCCTGGTTTAACCTGGCAGTTGCAGCCATTTGAGGAATGAACCAGTGGATGGAAGATCTCACTTTCTCTCTGTCCCTCTCTCTCTGTCGCTCTCCCTTTCAAATAAATATTTTAAAAATTAAAAAATATTTCATAATAAAATGAGACAAAGCTTAACAAGGCATCATTACACAGAGAGGAATTATTCAATGCTGCTTTAAAAAAAGAGATTCGACTGTTTATCCTTAATAGGACCTAAAGGGAGATAAAAAGAGCTTTGAAAAGATCTTAAATGATTTTCAGTTGCTGGTGGTAATACAGTGATTGTTACTCTAAGACTGCTGCAGTATGTAGAAAATGGGACAGAATAAGTAACATATTGCTGACATTGAAAAGTAGATCTTCATTTTAAGAGAAAGATGTAAAACTGTTACAGTCAAGTAAAAGTCCCTCAATTTTAATTGGAAATTTCAATATAAAATCATGGTATTATTTATCTTTGGGGGAAAATATATGCATTGTATCTCTAAAAAAATTACCTACATATTTCTTTGTTCTGTTCATTAAAAAGGCCCAGAAACAAAAACCAGCATTGGTAATAAGGACTTTCAGCACCAGACTGTGGTCTCTCAATATCATTTCCCATTAAAAGAAGGTCTCTTTAAAGAAAAGGCTGATTCTAAGTCTAGGGAAGAAATGTACGTAAGATGAATCTGAAGCACTTTGTCACACCAGAAAGCAAGTAATATGTCAAACAGTATGAAATTCAGACAAGATACTTTAAAACAAATAAAAACAAAACACCTCATTAGTCACCTATGGAGAATGCTAAATATTTACTATAAATTTTATTTTTTATTTTTATTATAAATTTTAGTAAATAAAGGGAAACAATCAAATATACATCCTATCTTTTCTTTATTAACTAAAGTTCTAGGTACAAATAGTTGACATGGGAAAGCTTCTCTTTATGGAAATACCCCAGCTTAAAATTAAGAAGTAATAATAACATAATACCAACATTTTGTAGCATTTAATGAATAAACAAATTTAGGTAATATGTAACCAATGACTATTAACATCACAAAAAGCACATTATGTTCCTCCTTAGGGAGGTACCCAACACTGCAAATGAAGTAGCCTTGACTCTTACCAAAAATGCATTTAATTATTAATTATCTAATCATCAATACATGGACACAGGAATGTGTTAATAATACTACAGAAAATCAACTAGCAAAATCAAGACCGATATGGGTCAAGTAATCTAGTCTGTTTAGCAACAAAGCTTAAGATAGGAAGACAAAGTATAGATTAAAAGAAACGTTACAGGGGCTGGCGCAGTGGCGCAGTAGGTTAATCCTCTCTGCCTGTGGTACCAGCACCCCATATGGGTGCCGGTTTGAGTCCTGGCTGCTTCTCTTCCAATCCAGCTCTCTGCTATGGCCCTCCAATGGCTGCCGCGGCCGGCGCACCGTGCTGATCCAAAGGCAGGAGCCAGGTGCTTCTCCCGGTCTCCCATGGGGTGCAGGGCCCAAGCACTTGGGCCATCCTCCACTGCCTTCCCGGGCCACAGCAGAGAGCTGGCCTGGAAGAGGGGCAACCGGGACAGAATCCGGCGCCCCGATCGGGACTAGAACCTGGTGTGCCGGTGTCGCTAGGCGGAGGATTAGCCTATTGAGCTGTGGCGCCGGCCGATTCAAACAAACTTGTAAAAAATTTAAGACATATAAGGAATTTAAATTTTAACTGGATATTCAATAACACCAATGAAATATCATTTATCTATGCATATTATGACATTGTAATTTTATTTTTAAAAAGGCTCTTTTACATTATACTGTAGTATTTACGTAAGAAAAAAAATTTAGGATTTGCTTCAAAATAAATAAAAGGAAAGCAGAGTAGAGGGTGTTACAGATAAAACAAGACTGGCTATGAACTGATAATTGTTGAAGCTGAGTGATGAGTGCATAAGGGTTTATGATTCTATTTTTCATTAATTTCATGTATGTCTGAAATCTTCAACAATAAAAACAAATGTTTAGAGTGACTAAAATAGATTATGAAATAAGCAAAATTTCTGCAGACAGAAGAACAGAAAATCATTTTGCACATCACATGTTAAGAAATAGTGCAGCCAGCGCCACGGCTCACTAGGCTAATCCTCCGCCTTGCGGCGCCGGCACACCGGGTTCTAGTCCCATTCGGAGTGCCGGATTCTGTCCCGGTTGCCCCTCTTCCAGGCAAGCTCTCTGCTGTGGCCAGGGAGTGCAGTGGAGGATTGTCCAAGTGCTTGGGCCCTGCACCCCATGGGAGACCAGGATAAGCGCCTGGCTCCTGCCATCAGATCAGCGTGGTGCACCAGCCGCGGCGGCCATTGGAGGGTGAACCAACGGCAAAGGAAGACCTTTTTCTCTGTCTCTCTCTCACTGTCCACTCTGCCTGTCAAGAACAAAAAAAAAAAAAAAAAAGAAAAGAAAAGAAATAGAGCAAGGGGCTGGCATTATGGTATAGCCAGTTAAGCCACTGCCTGTAAATGCCAACATCCCATATGGGCACCAGTTTAATTCCCAGCTGCTCCACTTCCAATCCAGCTCCCTGCTAATGCGCCTGGGAAAGCAGCAAAAGAAGGCTCAAATGCTTGGGTCTCCATATGGGAGACCTGAAAAAAGCTCCTGACCCCTGGCTTCAGTTTGGCCCAGCCCTGGCCTTGAGACCATTTAGGGAGATGGCCATCAACCAGCAGATGAAAGATTCTTTCTTTCTTTCTTTGATTCCTTCTTTCTTTGTTTCTTTTTTCTTTTCTCTCTCTCTCAAATGAATAAAAATAAATCTAAAAAAGAAGTGGGAAAATAGGTATTGCTTAGCTTATAAATCTATGAAGAAGTAAGTAAATCTGGAGGGCAGATTCAACAAAGTATCAATTTACCATCCTCTGAACCACTTTATAACACACATATCTTGTTTTATAGTTATGAATATTGATGGATTTTTCCTATTAGAGAAGGAATAAAATATTTAATTAGGCTTCAGATTATTCTACAATCATTAAGCATTCATTTGCCAAATTAAAGAGGTGGAACAAAAAACTAGTCTAACCACTCTGTACCTGTTTCTGAAATGTCCACAACATGTCATTTTTGATCATGTTCAAGACTTTCTATTACTTCTATTTACAGCCCCAAAAATGTTTTCTTGTGTGTTAAACTTATCTTTAGACCAACAGTTCTATATTGTGGGCAGAAAAGGAATAAGTGTAACTTGAAAAACATGGATGTTAAGTAGAGAATGGATCAGTGACTTGGCTAAAATCATGAGGCTTCAAAATTAGGTCTTTAGGAACAAAATCTAGGGTTTCTTCTGGTTCATAAATGTGCCACTGCTCTCGTTGGCAATAATAAGAGATAGAGGGTAAGCAGATCCAAACCACAATCATCTAAACTAAATATATAAAAGATTACTCCAAGGAGTTCACAGTGGATCCACTGCTGGGCTAGTCATCTAGAACAAGATCTGCAATTCTAAAATCCTAACAATTACTAGAGTAAATTTATAATACAAAACTGTGACTTTTTTAGTTCCTACTATCATTAATGTATCCACAACCCCAACCAAATTATAATAAACCCGAATAAAATTAAACAGGGATCAGTTTTTAGTTTCTAGCACTGAATTCAATAGAAATCCTGGACTCTGTCAAAATGATGTAACTACCAAGAATCCTAAAAGAATTTCTAATATTAATATTCCTGCACTGGTAGCCATTAAATTATTGTGAAGTTTCAAAATGTAATAGTTGTAGGGGCTGGTGCTGTGGTGTAGTAGGCTAAGCCTCTGCCTGCAGTGCCAGCATCCCATATGGGTGCCAGTTCTAGCCCCGGCTGCTCCTCTTCTGACCCAGCTCTCGGCTATGGTCTAAGAAAGCAGTAGAAGATGGCCCCAGTGCTTGGGCCTCTGCATCCCCATGGTAGACCTGGAAGAAGCTCCTGGTTTCTGGCTTCGGATCAGGCTAGTTCCTGCTGTGCCGCCATTTGGGGAGTGAACCAGCAGATGGAAGACCTTTCTATCTCTCCCTCCCTCCCTCTCTCTCTCTGTAACTCCACCTCTCAAATAAATAAATAAATAATCTAAAATTTTTAAAAACTGTCACTTCAGTTTATCATAATATATCTTCAGTATCTGAGTCATGAAACTATATAAAATGTCAATAACACTCTCATAATATCCACATTGTAGGTTTTTCTCCTCTTGAGAAATAAGTGCAATTTTGCTAAAACATACTCAGCACAATCCCTTGCTCATAGCAAATATGTTCTAAAGTGGGAAATTGTTCTATTTTACATACCTTGACATAGATGACAGGGAGTGTCTGTTTGGCTCGACTATAGTGTCTGGCAACTCTGTATACTGTTTCCGGAACATAGTCCAGCACCAGATTAAGATAGACCTCATCTTTCTGAAAGAGTATATTCAAAAATAAGCAAAAAATCAGACATTTATCTTTAAAATTTCAACTTAAATTCTTAATATATTCACTTATTCCGATCTTAAAGAAAACATTATGATTCAATTTCAATTCTACAAAATTACTTCAGAATATAAATATAACAGTAAAAACAAGTCTACTACATCTTTTTACTAATAATTCCATTGAAAAACATGGCCAATTCAATGCTGTTAAGGTTCCCAATAGGTTTAAACTATTCTTTGGTTACCATGATTTCAGAGGCTATCACCTTTCATAAAATTTCATATTTTCTAGACTAATAATTGATGCCTCATAGCCTATCAAGAAAAGTGGCATGGTAGTAGGAAGAACATTGAATTGAGAACTAGGAAACGCAGATTTCTAGCCCTAACTCTACTGCTAATTGGTATATGCAAGTCAATTAATCTCTGGAGGCTTTAGTTTCTTCAACTATAATATGAAAGGTTGAACAAGATTCTTCAAAATGTCTCTAACCCCCACCAAAAAAAAAAAAAAGATCCTACAGTTATCTGATAGCCTGTAATTAGTAGAACAACCACTTGTCTTCTATAATTAACTAAAATAAAAAGAATAACTTATAAGGCAGTGAAGTTACCATATTCACAAGCTTATTATAGTTCTTGTGTTTAAATAACCATTCTCAGAAGTATAAAGATATCAATCCAAGATCAGTAGAGAGAAAGAAAGGCATTCTAACCAAGTAGGAAAGAGGAACAGGGCACTAGCTCTACCCTGTTTCCTGTGAACACTGTTAGTTAAGCAAACTGAAGCACAAAACAAAGCTGAAAATCACTATATATTAGAATCAGGTGCTGAGTGGGAAAAACTACCAGTAAACAAATTTTCATAATGTCACAATTTTAAATCATCTTGCCTGCCAAACTGAAGTGGAGAATTTCAATGTTCAGTATTAACAAAGCATTTTCTAAATGTCACTAGCCACTCAGGACATAGGTATAAAAGACAGAAGATCTAAATTGAGTATGAAAAGAGCATTTCAGGCAATAGGAAAACTATATTCAAGATGCCAGGTCAATAGGAAGAGATAATGAGGAATGACAAGCTGTTGCATCTAGTGTATCTTCGTTCAGTGTTGCTCTTTGAAAGACCTTGATACCAATAGCAAGCAAACTGTACTGAATTCAAGAGTAGGAGATGGCAGGTAAGTAACAAGAGACAGTTAATTCAGTTTGCTCTTAAAAAAATCTTTGCTGGTAGAAGTGAGGATACAGCTGGGATTTGATAACTTAAGCAGATACAAAAAGAAAAATTGGTGTCCTTTTTACTTGCTCTTTTTACTAGTTACAAAGACACTCAAATTTATTTGTAGGCAAGTAGATAAGGATAGAATCTACTTATAAGGGACAGAAAATGGATAACTGATGAAACAAGGTTTGAGAACATTAAGAGAAGGAAAGAACAGAAACTAGCTACACAGTGTAGTCATTGAGAAGCGAGTCTAGTACCCATCACACAGAACTACACATAAAGGGTGAAGGGCAGGTAGGATGGGAAGAATCACTATGTTCCTAAAGTTGTATTTATGAAATGCATGACGTCTGTATACCTTAAATAAAAGGTTTCTGGGTAAGAAAAAAAAAAAAAAACTACATGGAATTCCTAATTCTGCTATGAGTTATGTGAGCATGAATAAGTAACCTAACCTCTTCAAGCCTCAGTTTCCTAACTGTAAAGTAGGGGAAATGGTGGTATATATCTTAGAATGTCTTCAGATTAATCCATATGAAGTGATTTTTACATGGCACATAATAAGGACTCAAGTTTTAATCATTATCAACCTCAAAGAAGAGTACTACTTCATTCTATAAATGTATTAAAGAAAGGGAAACAAATGTAAATTGAGCATATGTCTGATGATCCTATTTCTTGTGATAAGATAATATGCAAAACAGAATAGAGGCAATGAAAATACTAAGAAAACTTCAGAGATCAAGGTTCAAAGAAAATCAGTGAAGGTGAGATCTAATAAAATGAACAGACAGAATGCTGAACTGGTGTGAAAGATGCCGGGTTGAACATCACTAATTCAAAAGTCAGAAATGTGAAACAATTCAGAATCTGAAATTTTTTGAATGCCAACATGTCACCACAAGTAGAAAATTCCACACCTGACCTCACATGACAGATCACAGTGAAAACATATGCACACTAAAACTATTGTATAAAATTATGTCAAGCTATCTGTGTCGCTCCCCGTCTTCGTGGGGGAACGACACTAAACCCTGCCTAGGCTTCATATCCGAGTCACGGCACCATTATGTCGCTCCCCCTCTTCGTGGAGGAACGACACTAAACCCTGCCTAGGCTTCATATCCGAGTCACGGCACCATTATGTCGATCCCCCTCTTCACGGAGGAACGACACAGGACCCTGCGCTGTTCTTTCGTCTGCTCGGCCCTTCCCGGGTTTGCTGCTGGTTCTTCCCGGGTTGGCTACCGTCCCTTCCACCTCCATGGAAGGGCGGTTCCCCCTGCCACTTTCCCCACTTCCCCCACTTCCGCGGGGGAGCGGCACACCGCCAGCCGGCTCTCTCGGGGGCTGCTCAGATGTTCCTCAGGTGTTCCCCTTAGATGTTCCTGGTGCATGTTGTCTCTCTCCTCCTTTATAGTCCTCTTCCACCAATCCCAACTCTGCTACCCACAAGCCGAGCACGCCGCTCTCCTCCAATCAGGAGCGGCTCTTGCAGCTTATCAAGTTGTTAAGAGGCAGCTGGGTAGAAGCTGTACGCTCCTCTCCCAGCGCCACATTGTGGGAGAGCAGATGCATAGAATAAGTCTTAATTCCAGTAACAGTCTAGTCCGAGTTGCTCCCCACAATCTGAACAAGGTAATATGAATAAACTCATTCTGTGTTTATACTTGTGTCCCATCCCCAAGATATTTCAGTATACACATGAAAATATTCCAAAATCTGAAAATAATCTGAACTCCTGAAAACTTCTGGTCCCTAGGGATTCTGAATATTCAAGGTAGGTAAGTAGAATTCAAGGAATAGTGACTTCAGGTATTGAAAAGGTCATTTATATAAATGTAGAAGCTATATTTTTATTTAAAAAATCAATTACTAAATTAAAGCAATTCTTAATTTTCATAAATCAAACATCTGACAAATAATCATGAATTTAAACATGAATAACCAGCACTGAATTACAAGTTACTTCATTTGCTAAAGAATCATACTATAAGTTAACACTAAAAACATTAAAACATGAATGTCAAGTTCAACAGATGTTTCTAGTTGTAAGAGTCTAAGCTCTGCCCTTCCCTAGTCCTAGTCATGTAGGTGATTTCATGTTTTAGGGGTTGCAAAAGCCAACTGTTCAACAGCTAAGCAAGTAAAGGTGAAGCCAAAAGTATAATGTTGGAAGAGGCAGCAGTTGATAAATCTAATAAAGACTTCAATAAAAACATTCCAATTTAAAAAAACAAAAACAAAACAAAGAGTGTTAGCCAAATACATCACACCCCAGGATAGATCTGACAGATTACAATCTCATTTCATCAGTCACCTAAGAATGCCATAAACCTAGGAAAAACGGTTTAAAATGGACGGCTGAACAAGAATTTGAAAGACTCTGACAGGCTGAAATGATAGACTAATATGAAATTTAACCAAGATAAATAGACCTATGATTAAAATCAAAGTAATAATTACATAGAATGACAGATCAGGCAAAATCAAAATTGGACTTGAGAGTAATTCATCCAGAAATTAAGTGGTAAGTGTAACTGTACTTAACTCCAAAGGAATCAAAATTGAGATGCAACTAATGAAAAATTTATGAAATATTATGTTAAAGCAGAAATACTGTGTTCATATCAACATCCAATAATTCTACTCTGTACAGTTCAGGCCTCATTTGAAGTACACAGGCTATCCCCTCTTAGGCAGCATATTTTATTCATAATACCAACAAAGCAGAATACATCAAAGAAAGGTTATATGTATGTTATAGGATGAAAACCCTGATTTACTGAATTTTGAGAAATATGGGGGCTCAAACAAATGTTAAATTTACAAATGTTCTAATGTAAATCTGTTTGAAACATCATATAGACAAAACTAATAAATAATGTTTCTGATAGAAAAATATCAAATATAGCACTGCCACACCCAGAAATATTTAGATTCTTTACTAACAGCAGTAGTTGTTCTCATTTAATCCATTCTTGGAGAGTAATAACTGACAATAAATAACTGGAGCTCTCAGCCCTAGAACAAAACTCATTTTCAATAAAAAGAAGTTTATTACTCGGTATCTGAAATGATATGTTAGTCTTGCCAGAATATTTTGAAGAAGTGATCATAAGTGGGACAAGAAGAAATTATGTTTGTGGTGACTGGAGGATTATGGTACATCTTGTACCTGTGAACTGATGTCTTGTCTTGATAAAACTTTTTTTTTTTTAGACAAAGAACCACCATTACTTTCAGTCCAGTATTACAACCTTTTCTTCAGTCTTTATTTTGACAGAGCTAACCAAAATTAAGAGGTGTCTTTATTTTGGAAAATTCACAGTGCTCAAGAGAAAGTAGTGTGACAAATAAAACATTAGAAAGTGCATTCCTTTTAACGAGAGACAAATCTGAAATCTGGTTAACCTCTGTTAATGGTTTCTCTTTATCTGTAAGAATGTTTAAGACAAATAGGAAGTTGTGTGCAGCAGCAGGGAGAACTATCATCCCCTGAAGGAAACAGGTAGTAGCCAGGCAGGTGTCTTCCTTAAGGCAGGATTAAGTCAAGGTAAAGGGGCTGACTCTGACGGGGCTTCCCATAAAACCCAAACTGGACAGGTAAGCCATTAGGTTTCTTGTATACTAAAGGCTTGACATCTTTCTTTTCTGCTCTTTAACTTCATAAGAATTAAGTGAGTCAATATTTACAAAGCATTAATACTATGCCTGGCAACAGGTAATGCTATATATAAATTAAAATAAGTAATCAAGACAACCTGTTTAGGGACTTTATAAGAAAGTCTTACAAATGAATCTGTATGTGGTTTAGTGGTTCAAGGAACAAATAACTCTGACCTTTCCTTTACTCCCTGGAGCATTATGATGTCTACCAACTAATAACAAAAAGCCATGAGGATGCAAAATTCCATTATAAGAATGCTGTGAATGTAACAGATGCTCTATAATTTTAATTAGGAAGGGACAGGAAAAAGTAAAGACATTTCCAAACAGATAAGATTACAGGCAATAATAGGCAGTTTGCTAGGTTAAAATAAAAGTAGCATGAATCAAACAATTGAGTTTAAAAACAAAATAGCTCAAATACTTATGAAGGCTTACAATAACAGAGGCATCATTTAAACTGAACAACAAGTGTAAATAGGGGCCAATTTGCTAATTATGGTTATTAAAACATATTTGGTATGACACACATATATATAGAACAATTATAGATTTATAAGCATGTATATCACAACCATGACAGGCTTTGTCATAAAAAGAAATCCTAAGGAAACAATCAAAATAGAGTATAATGGAAAACGATAAAAAACAGTCACAAGAAAACTGGGGTAGAAATCAAGAGGCATTACGGATCTAACAACATTAGATGTTAATATGCATGAAACCTGAAATCCAAAATACAAAAATTAACTTACTCAAAATCATGTTTATTTAACCAAATTAAAAAAAAGAATCAGTGGCAAGTAAGAAAGACTGAATCTGAGGAAATGGGAGAATGACAGGCACAAAGAAAAAGATCAATGTAGAGCATCAAAAAACTGGTTTTGCTTCCAACTCTAGTGAGTACAATGACATTAGTTATTGTATCCTCTGGAGAATGACCAAGGGAGTAGTGAGAATGGGTAGAGATTCACAGCACAAAGCCTTTAACTATCCTTTGCTTTCACAGAAATAAATATGAACATAACTAGTAACCACTTAGAATCATCTCTGTAATACTATACCTTTGCCAACATTTCCCCTGCCATTTAATTCTCATTTTAGTCCTCCAAAATCCTCTTACTTCCTCTTCCTATTCCCTATAATCAACATACAATTAACAAAATGACATAATTTTCTTCCCTCCAATAATTAGGTGAACTATTGGAGAGAGTTCCAAAAGCACATAAGGAACAGAGAAGGCTTAATAAAATATATAAATTGGCCAGTGCCGCGGCTCACTAGGCTAATCCTCCACCTGCAGCGCTGGCACTCCGGGGTCTAGTCCCGGTTGGGGCGCCAGATTCTGTCCCAGTTGCTCCTCTTCCAGTCCAGCTCTCTGCTGTGGCCCAGAAAGGCAGTGGAGGATGGCCCAAGTGTTTGGGCCCTGCACTTGCATGGGAGACCAGAAGGAAGTGCCTGGCTCCTGGCTTATTTCGGCGCAGTGCACCGGCCTGGCAGCCATTTAGGGGGGTGAACCAACGGAAAGAAGACATTTCTGTCTCTCTCTCTCACTGTCTAACTCTGCCTGTCAAAAAATGAATAAAATAAAAAAGATAAAATAAAATATATAAATTTACTTGACAATTGAAAAAAAAACCCATAAAATTCTTAGACATTCATACACACCTTCTCTTCTCATTAACATTTTCCTGATATTCAATAACTGTATCTTGGACTCAGAATCACTGGGGCATGTGTTTTGGAATTCTTCCATTCAATTAACAAAACTTTCTCACTTCGGGAGAACAGGCATTATTTGTAGAAGAGTAACAAATTTATCACAATATTCAGTACAGATTTACTGTGAGACCTACCTTCTCACCACTCGAGTAGAAGAAATAACGCAAACGGACTATGTTACAATGATCTAGCTTTCTCATAATCTGGAGCTCTCGGTTCTGAAAAGGAAACACATGAAAATTTTTTTTTTTTAAAGTTTAACAGTGGTTCATCATATTAACAAAGATGCTTCTGAAGTAACATTAAACACTACAAACAGCAGGCTGTGGTTTGCTATTAAAAGTGTGACCTGTGGATCAGTACTGATCTGCAAACTATTTGTTACTAATCCATGAACTATGTTATTCCTTGGAAATAAGATAAATATGGAAATAAGATAAACATGCAAACTGAGAATGTTTGGAATCTTTTATAGCAATCTGACAGAATTTGATATCTATGAATCTGGTAATAAGAATGGAACCTATATTTTACATAGTTTAGATCTCACTTTTCGAGTAATTCTTTGGCATTGTATTTTGCAAAAAGATCAGTCTTTAGGGGCCGGTGCTGTGGCCCAGCGGGTTAACCCCCTGGCCTGAAATGCCGGCATTCCATATGGGTGCCGGTTCGAGACCTGGCTGCTCCTCTTCCAATCCAGCTCTCTGCTATGGCCTGGGAAAGCAGCAGAAGATGGCCCAAGTCCTTGGACCCTTTTACCCATGTGGGAGACCTGGAAGAAGCTCCTGGCTCCTAGCTTCGGATTGGTATAGCTTTGGCCATTGTGGCCAACTGGGGAGTGAACCATTGGATGGAAGACCTCTCTGTCTCCTCTGTGTAACTCTGTTCAAATAAATAAATAAATCTTAAAAAAAAATCAGTCTTTAATGAATTGGAAATTATAAAAAGTAATACTTTACCACAAATACTTTGAGATCTGTAAGTCTACAATATGTAAGAAATATGAGAAATGAAGTTACTAGTGTAATTTTTTGCAACTATAATAAAAAAGTTAAACTTCAAACCAAACAGATGAATTTGGGAATAAAGAAAGTTCTTACAATCCCATTACTTTCTAAGACACAATGAAAAATACTGAGAGTATTTTTCTACGAAATGAGCTCAGAAACTATGCTTCAGGAAAAATTAAAATATGGCATGCTATATTTACATAATCCTGATGGGTTTACAGCCCACACAATTTTTCCTTTAGCAAGTTGCAAAGTTATGCTCATTCTTCATGAAAAGAAAATACAACAATATAATTTCTTAACAAATGAGATACATAACAATAAAATAATTGGCTATGAAAAATCCAGTGATTAAAAGTCAAATAATGGAAAGAATACCAAAATGCCAGTTATGTAGCCAGAAAATAAAGTTTTAGTTAAGAGCTACAAAACATGAATTAATATACCTGAAAATTTGGGAGGGAAATGGTGTTAAAGTTAGAAGAGACAAAAAGAGATGAAGGTAGAAATGCCTAGGGACCAAGGAGCCTGACAAGCATTAGTATATACTAAAGCAAGGTGGTTCTAGTCCTTAAGAAGATGAGAACAGAAATAACCAAACATTCCTTTAAATTGATCTTCAGAGCTAGGCTTACATATACAGTGATATCCAAAATTCTTTTACAAGACATCAAGTTTTCATTCCATTACTTATAAAATAAGCGAGGCAGTAAACAGAAATGTAGACAATACAGTATAATGGCTACAACGAAGACAGTAGCCGATATCAAACTCTTAATTTTTGACCATCACAGAGAGAATACAGAAAAAACAATTTTAAAATGGTGTCCATTTCTATTCCAAATTTACACTATTCCTGGAAGTATATCTACACTTCACCAATTCACATTTAGGTAGTTAGCTTTCAAAGAGAGCTGCTAAAAAGTAGAGACTTATCTTTTCCATGGATATGTAGATAGTAAAAGTTGAGTGATTTTAAGCAAGACCAACAAAGTTAAAATTAGCTATTTTTTCTTTCAGACTCATGAACAAAGCTAACAATGAACTTCTAAATTCTCAGATAATAAAGTTGTATAAGATTGTGAATATTACCTTTGACTTAAAAAAAAAATAGGTGAAACAAAGACCTAAATATTCATCTATCCTCATTCTTCTGTTCACAGACCATTCCTTTAGAAAGAAGGCTTAAATTTCCTCATTTTATAAAATTCTGTAAGAATATAAAATATAACCTTAGTGGAGCAATTTTTGTAAGCATTAATAAAGTATTAGGCAAATGAAATTTCATATTTTATTTTATTTACTTATTTTTTTGGACGGCAGAGTGGACAGTGAGAGAGAGAGACAGAGAGAAAGGTCTTCCTTTGCCCTTGGTTCACCCTCCAATGGCTGCTGAAGCCGGTGCACTGCGGCCGGCGCACCGCGCTGATCCGAAGCCAGGAGCCAGGTACTTATCCTGGTCTCCCATGGGGTACAGGGCCCAAGTACTTGGGCCATCCTCCACTGCACTCCCTGGCCACAGCAGAGAGCTGGCCAGGAAGAGGGGCAACTGGGACAGAATCCGGCGCCTGGACCGGGACTAGAACCCGGTGTGCCGGCGCTGCAGGTGGAGGATTAGCCTATTGAGCCGGGGTGCCGGCCTTATTTCATTTAAATTTAATGAATTGAAATACATAACTATCACAATTTTAGCCATCTTTATTATTTTTTTAAATATTTATTTATTTGAGAGGAGAGACAGAAAGAAAGGTCTTCCATCCACTGGTTCACTCCCAAAATGGCTGTTACAGGCGGAGCTGGGCTGATCTGAAGCCAGGAGCCAGAAGGCTTCCTTCCTGATCTCCCATGCAGGTGCAGGGGCCCAGGCAACTTCTACTGCTTTCCCAGGCCATAGCAGAGAGCTGGATCAGAAAAGGAGCAGCCAGGACTTGAACTGGTGCATATGTGGAATGCCAGCACTGCAGGCAGAGGCTTAGCCCACTATGAAACAGTGTGGGCCCCTAGCCACCTTTATTGAAGCACTCTTCATTAGTTAACTAATAACATATTCATTCTATAGGAAACATTGTTACTCTACAAATACAGTATATCGTCCATTATAAAGGATCTTGTAAGAACAAAACTAAAAAAGTTCCTACTTTCAAGAAACCTACAGTCTATGGAGGAAAAGGAAGAATAAATAGTATATTTTCAGTCAGGGTAAGACAACAGAACATTAAAGGGAGAAGAGGCTCTACTTTGGAAAATGAAGTCAGAGAAGACGGCATGAAGGAGCTGGGATATGAACACAAACCTGAAAGACATGTAGGTGAGAACCATGTGAAGAGCTGAGGGAAAAATTCTAAGGGATTCCAAATGTAAATACCTAAAGATGGAGATGGCATATTCAACAGACAGACAGAAGGATAACGTGGTTTCATCATTATGAATAAGAGGACAGAGCAAGGAAATTAATGCAGAGAGGTAGGTAGGTGCAATAACATATAAATCGTCATCAATCCAGGAAGAAATTCAATTTCACTCTGCATGTACAAGGAAACCATTAAATTTCATCCTAAATGTAAAAGGAAACCACTGGCATGGCAAATGATACATTCTGAGTTATCTTCGCAAAACAGCATTCAAAAATTGATAATAGTAAGTCTGAAGGAGAAAGGAAATGAAGATTTTTCTTTTCCATTTATTAAATTTGAAATCCTTATCAAACAGCCAAGTTTGGTTCAAAGATTGGAAATATGTATCTGAGGGGGCATCTGCAAAATCTTCACCTAAGAAGTTCATACAGAAAAAAATGTTTTCATGGAGTGAAAGGAGTGAAGTGGAGTAGTTAGTAACTTAAGAGAAAAAGGAGAAAATCTACCTTAGAAGCCAAGAAAAGAATTTTCAGAAAAAATTATGTCAAAAGCTGCTGAGAGATTAAGACAGAAACAGAAAACTTAAAGAGCTGATACAGCAACAGAGAAGTCTCAGCAGGACAGCAGTGAAAATGCCTGAGTAGATTGAATTAAAGTAGGAGGAAAGGGATTAGAAAGTTTAAAAAACAGAGATTTCAGCTGTAACTGAACGAAGAAATCAGGAAATTCACTCCCTTAAACCATCTATATAACTGGATTATTCAATAGAAAACAAACATTTCAGGGCTCTGGAATTCTATCGAAGACAACAACAAATTGAGATGTGATAAGTCATGAAAAGCTTCTAGATATTACAGTTTAGACATGGAAAAAATAAACTTCAGAGGATGCTACCTTCCCCTATTACCACCCAACTCAGCCAGTGAGGAAGTAGTTGTACCAAGCAGGGCTGACCACGAAAACCAAGAATTTTGCTTCCAGTTGGGGCTACTAGTGAGAAGAGAGCAGAATCCTATGTGCAGTTGCACTAGCAGTAAAAATTGCACATTTTATAGGAAACAAAGGGAAAGGCCCACAGTTCAGCTATCATGAGGCTGCAATCCCAGCTGAGCAAGTAACAGACTGGAAAGAAATCCTGAAATTTAACAGGCAGATCCTAGGAATGAGAGAGGTATAAAGGGCCTAAATCAGTTCCCCACACATCCCTGGCAGATTAACAGGAGAGAGCCTTAGAGAAAGCAAAAGCTGAGTCCAATTTGAAAAGTGAATTTCTTGGGCCGGTGCTGTAGTATAGCAAGTAAAGCTGCCGCCAGTGATGCCAGTATCCTATATGGACTCTGGTTTAGAGTCCTGGCTGCTTCTCTTCCAATCCAGAACCCTGCTAATGGCCTAGGAAAGCAATGGAGGACAGTCCAAGTGCTTGGGCCCCTGCACCCAAGTGAGAGTCACAGAAGAAACCCCTTGCTCCTGACTTTGGCCTGGCCCAGCCCTGATCATTGAAGCCATTTGGGGAGTGAACCAGCAGATGGAAGCTCTCTCTCTTTCTCTCTCTTTCTCTCCCTCTAACTCTGATTTTCAAATAAATAATCTTTAAAAAAAATGGATTTCTCAATGTGCTCCCTACTTACACAGAGAATAACTACCAAAAAAATGATGGAAGGGCTGGCACTGGGAGTAGTGAATAAAGCCACTGCCTGCAGTGCTGGCATCCCATATGATTGGGTACCAGTTTGAGTCCTGGCTGCTCCACTTCTGATCCAGCTTTCTGCTATGGCCGGAAAAGCAGTGGAAGATGGCCCAAGTTCTTGGGTCCCTGCACCTGTGTGGGAGACCCGGAAGAAGCTCCAAGCTCCT